GTTGATGGGAGTCATTCCCTTCTTTGTGACTTTAGCCCTTTACATAACAGTTCCTAAGAAAGGAAAGCATGATAGAAAGATGAAAGACTTCCATAGGACATCTACAAGCATTTATTTTATGCAAAAATTCAATGATTATGTGCACACAAATGGTGTGCACATTATCTATGCTGAACAATGAATGTGAAGGAACAGAGTATTGTAACAGTTGTCTGTAAAATAAAGTTAAAAACTGAGCCCCAATTATCAGACAAAAATAAAACTCTTCTTTCCTAACAGCCTGGTACTTAAGGTTGACAGCAGCAACCCTACGCATCTCAATTTTCTCAGAAAGCTGCCAGTGTCCATCTACTTCTATCACAAAGGAAAAACAAAAAACAACTTTTTTTACATTAATAATAAAAATCTGGTGACAAAAATTATAAAACCAAATCCTGGACAGTCTTTACTCCTTTAAAATCCCAAATATTCCAACATAATCATAGGAGTAAAAACCATTTTAAAGTGATATTCCTTATGAAACATATGTACATTTATTGCAAATTATATTAAACTAAAATGGGAGAAATCATAATATGAAGTATTTATGACTTGCAAATCAATAATAATTTTAATTATTTTCTCATTCTGATAAAAATCAGATAGCAACATTTATAAAATTGCCACGACATTACTTTTCATAGCAGGTAACAGAAATCTGTACATCTCATTATTTGCAGAAAAGTAGACAGGCAGAAAGAATAATACATAAGTTTCCAAAAGGAAAACAAAGAACTATGTCGTCTGCTCTCTTGTAGACACCTGCTCCCTGTGTGGCTCCAGATGGACGAGCTCTGTCAGTGAGGAGGACACGTCACCCCGACGTGACAGCTGCAGCATGGAAAGAATGGGTCGCACGGGCGCCTGTCAGCTCCAGATACGCAGGAACTGGAACCAAGTGTTAAGCAATTTGCTTAATTATTGACTTTTCACAGGAAAAGTCTGGGGGAAGGAAGAACAGAGACGCTTTTAGCCTCTCTCTAGAGTCTGCTGTACATTTCCACCAGAGGACTGTGGCTGTGGAAAAAGGAAGGCTAGCTTCTCTCAGTTTTCAAGGCAGAAAGTGTGTATTTGAAGTGAGCTTCGTTTTCTGTTTGGGGACATTTGAATCCCAGTTTTTACAGAACCTGGAATCTGCTTCTGTTTGGCCTTCATTTTCTCCCTGTCCAAGTTCTCTTTTTACCTTGGGAACAGAAGAACACAAAGTGAGAACACAGGAGCAGCCAACAGAACGGTGTTTCATGCTTTCAACCCCAAGTGTGAACGAACACTCACTTTTCACTAGCTTTAGGGAAAAACGAAACACCAACACACAAGTCTCTTTCTGCTTTGCTGCCAAGTACTGTGGTCAGGTCATATTTGTTTACAATGCTAAACCATCCATCTTGATTAATTGCAGGTTTTTTTTTTTTTGTTTTGTTTGTTTTTTTTTGGTTTTTCGAGACAAGGTTTCTCTGTGTAGCTTTGCGCCTTTCCTGGAACTCACTTGGTAGCCCAGGCTGGCCTCGAACTCACAGAGATCCGCCTGGCTCTGCCTCCCGAGTGCTGGGATTAAAGGCGTGCGCCACCACCGCCTGGCAATTGCAGGTTTTTAATCAATTCTTTCAAAAATAAAATTACAAGAAAAGAACTACTACTAGACATTAGACAGCAAATTTATAACTAGCAACGCAAGCCTTGATTTCTGGACTGTGCGAACAAGGATAATTTAGAACAGTAAACCATAACCTACACTAAGCAGACACAACACAACAGAAGGAAAATGTCATCCGGGTCAGTTAACAGGTTGGCAGAATGATACTTCTATGACAGACTCAAATCCCTAACCTACAGGAGAGGGGCCATGTCTCCTGTCTCTTTGGGAGAAAGAAGTGACCAATTATCTGGTAAATGACCTGTGGGGTTTGCAGATGGATATGCCCTGGTGGGGATTTCTTCTTCTTCCCTGATAGGAGCAGCTGTGAGATGTTCTGTATGTTAAATGTGTTGCTCTGATTGGTTAATAAATAAAACACTGATTGGCCAGTAGCCAGGAAGGAAGTATAGGCGGGACAAGGAGAGAGGAGAATTCTGGGAAGTGGAAGGCTGAGGCAGAGGAGACACTGCCAGCAGCCACCATGAGTACCAACATGTAAGATACTGGTAAGCCTCGAGCCATGTGGCAATATATACATTTATAGAAATGGATTAATTTAAGATTAATTTAAGATATAAGAACAAGAAGCCTGCCACGGTCATACAGTTTATAAGGAATACAAGTCTCTACGTGTTTACTCGGTTGGGTCTGAGCAGCTGCAGGACTGGCGGGTGAGGAGATTTGTCCTGACCGTGGGCCAGGCAGGACCAGGAAAGCTCCAGCTCCAGGAGCAGCTGTGGCTGTTCATTTGTGGTTTCCATAGATGGGAAGTGCAGGTGACGGATCATGCATGGGCTTTGCACATGCTTGACCAATGCTCCCTCATATTTTTCCATATTCTTAACAGATTAATCAGTGTTAAGACTCTGTCTTCTTTATAGTTCACCTTTGGAGTAAGATAGAGTCCTAAACCTGTTAACTTCACAAAGATGGAATGCTAAAAGGCGAAGTCACCACAAGGATTCCCATAGGATTTTAGATTAATGCCATGCTGTCCAAGAGCCCTGTGTAAGCTGCCTCCCATCCCTGAATCTACAGAGCTCCTGGCTGCTCTCACAGTGGCCAATGAACTGCTCTCACAGTGGCAAGAACTGGCTAGACTCCATCCAGTCTGTGTCCCAAAGGAAAATGTTAGTGCTATTTTGATGAAGAAGAAATTTACTTGTTACTGAAAGTATATTTATATGAGACTTAATAGATAAACCTGGCATGGTGCCACAGGACTGTAATCTACATATTCAGGAGACTGAGCCTTGACAGTAATGTCAAAGCCAACTTTAGCAACCCTGCCTCAAACAAACAGGTGCCTAACAGGAGGTTATGTTGTGTTCTTACTACAAAGAAACCAATAAATCAATCCTCTTGCTTAACAGAGACTGGAATTCCAAGATCCTTGAATTCCTAAGATCACACAATGAGCATGCCAGGCAGACATGGACCAAAAGAAAACCATCAAGTCATCCATTATCACATCTCCTTAAAGTTCAAGTTTCCTACAAGTCATAAGCTTGAAGACTGTTTGCCCACTGTCTTGCTTATTTGTTAAGACAGGTTCTCTCAGGAGGCAGAGCCAGGTGGATCTCTGTGAGTTCCAGGCCAGCCTGGTCTACAGAGTGAGATCCAGGAAAACTACACAGAGAAACAAACAAAAAAAGACAGGTTCTCACCGAGCCCAGGGTGGCCTCAAAATCCATTCAGAGCGGAGGATGACTTTCCAAGTTTGACCCTCTGCCTCTACCTTGGAGGACTACACACATGTGCACCCATGCCTAGCTAATGTGACGTTCGAGATCAGCTCAGATGTACCCTAGCCACCTCCATTGGTGTTTATGAATAATTTCCTCCTCTTGGAAGAACCTGGCCTTCAGTATAAGCAAAACATTAAGAATCAGTAATATTTTCTGGTATTTTTTGTTTGTATTTGTCTTTT